TATTATTATATTATGTTGAAAACAGCTGAGTTGAATTTTTCCAGCTTTCTTTGATGAATAGAAAGCTCAGAAGATCAGCATTTATCTGAAATAGAAACCTTTTGTAACATTATGTCTTTGTCATCACTTTGGATAAATTTTATGCATCCTTGCTAAATAAAAGTATTACTTTCTATAATTTCTTCCCACCCCCGCCACCCCCCAATATATATATATGTATATAAATATATATATATATATACACACTCCAAGCTTTTGAATGGTAGTGTGTATATTACAAAATATAATTTTAATTAATTTACCTAACAGAGCCTTTATGATGAATAAATACATATGTAACTTTCTCCTTTGATGTAAAGATAACCAATTTTGTTGTTGTTTGAATTGAATTCAAGCAATTGACGCTGAATTGCCGCTACTTTAAAAGTGAAAATAAAATACGATGCTTTTATAAGCTATGTAAAAGCGAGGAAAATAGGGAAAAATTTAAACTAACAAAAAACAAACAACTGCTTGACGCCGAATTGCCGCTAATTTGAAAGTGAACGTGAAATGTGCACAGTGCTTTTATAAGCTTTTTAAAACTCAATCGACCGCCCCCCCCCATGGTGATACTGGTACTGGTAGCCTATATAAAGCTTTAAGCATCAGAATCGGCATCGGCCGATCACCATGACAAGAAATCGGTATTCGGTATCGGCTGCAAAAATCCTGATCGGAGCATCCATGATCAAAAAATCATCATATCGCACACCCCTAATGGGAACCTATTTTTTCTGCTAGAATGCATTTTCTGTTTGTTTGAAGAGATTTGAAGAGTTTGTTTTATGATGTGAAGAAGTGACTAGGTGATGTGAAAGTTGACCCAGAAGTTGAGAATTTCAATTCTGATCTGAGAAATGCACCAAAGCAACAGAGAAAAACTGTATTATGGAGTTTCATTTACCTTTTCATCACATTTTTCACACAGTCCTCAAGGATTGCACCCCCAATCTTGACTAACTGAGACATCTGAAAACATTTTTAAAAATTGACATTTTCCAACTATCAGGAACACAGAAAGAACAGTATTACTATTGGCCTGGCATAGTTATACTGACCATCAGATTCTTCTTTCCTTCATCAGTCAGTTGCCCTTCCAGATTCTTGAGCTCATGCTTGCTGTTTATCTTCTCCAGGTGGAACTGAGAGTCTGGGGGCTCACAGTTTTGACCCACTTGGGACAGCTTAGCTCTTATATCAGACAGTAGATAGAGGACCCGTCTTTGGAACTCTGAAAGTAAAAAAAATATATATATATATATATATATATATATATATACACATTTATCCTATTTGCAAAAACTCCACTGTCAGTAAGAAAATAAGGAGGTATAATTACTTCCATTATCTAAAGGGAATATATCACTGCCCTTTAATGTCTGGCGTTTAACAATTGTCTAACGTAAACAGTTGATACTGCTGAATTGTCTCGTCATGTTTAGCAGCTTACCTCAGCTCACATTAATGCCGCGCAGCTCAGCTTCTGTGAACGGTAAATCCCGCCTTCTTCGATTTGATTGGCTATTTCAAACATTTTGACATTGACGAGCGCTTTTGAGCCGCTGCACCAGAGATTGTCTTACTGCCTTTGGCTGCACTGAGCCAGAGCATGCAAAATTAATTATAATTTTTAACTCAAGTTGGCTGCGCGGTCCATTCGTCTGGGCCGATGGAGAGATATAGACTACGTAACGTTACATTAACTCATTATATTTACGCAATGGGCCGGCCCACATACATCCTGATTAAACATACTAATCATTGATGTCAATGTGACGTCAATATGACATCAATTGGACGTTTAAAACTTGATGTTGATTTGACGTATATTGAACGTCAAACATATTGGCCTACATAAATATTAAACCAATTTCAGTGCAGGATAACCTCCTATTTTTACCCAATTAACCACCAGAAGAATTGGCAATAAAGCTGAACTTCAAATGATGCTTTACAGCATCTTGATCAAATCTTGACTCATTTTTGACGTCAAATTGACATCAAGGTGCCCACTGGGCTCTCTCCGTCGCTCCTCCACTGACCTCTCCCTCCTCCTCTCACACCTCATTTACCCCACAATTCCTCCAAGCACCAACTCAAATTGTCACGCCCCCATGTATCGAGCGATATCCTTCACAATTATTTATCGCGATCTTCTGCGCAACGTCGCTGTAAATCGGTAAGAAAAGGTGCGCGTTGGAGGCGTTTAAAGCCAGATGCTGGGCGCTGCGGATTCGGCTACTGTATGCGACTCGGCGTTGCTATGCCAACGTAACATCCAAAGCGGAGCGCGCGCGTGCTGTAGCCTCGCACATGCGTTCTGTACCTCACACACGCATGCATAGGCACACACATATCACTCCTACACAAATACACAAAGTGTGAAGCTGAGCAGGGATTTCTTATGCATTACCAGGCCTGCCTCGTGTCGATAAAAGGACAGATGTCTGTCTCTACCATAGAGTGCATCGATTGATTGACATGTGTGTTTTTTTGTTCTGTCACTGTCATTCTGTTACACTGTGGAAGCTTCTGTCACGAAAACAAATTCCTCGTATGTGTAAACATACCTGGCAATAAAGCTCATTCTGATTCTGATTCTGATTCTGAGCGTAATTCTGATGTGACGTGCATGAAATACGGTCTGACATTTACTTGCGCCATTGCTCATTAAATAAGTAATTGTCCCTGTAGATAAGAGATTCACATAGTTATCTCTCTTATGACTTTGGCTTATTCACATGAGCGAGTGATTCGGCAGCAGGGATGAGAACAACAACACTTTTAAAATTGTTTGTACAACAAATAGTTCAATTAACAGGAAGTTAATATTGAGTAACGTACATTTCAAACTAAATTTGGCGAGACCGACGAAAATAGTTTTAAAAGAGGCCAATGCATCAATCTCAAGCAACACACATACTGGAGGGTTGTGAGTGGAGTAGAGCAACAGTAACAGGGTTGCCAGGTCTGCATAACAAAACTAGCCCAATCATGGTCAAAACTAGTCCAACTGGGTTGCAGGGGAAATTGACTACTAAAATCTCTTCAAAATCACTTTCTGGTGGGGGTGGGGTAAAAACATCTTTCCGGGGAGTACCATCTTGGTATATAATAATAATAATAATAAACGCAGCAACAGTATAAAAGTAGTCTAGCCCAATTCCGCCGGAAAACCGTGGACTTGGCAACACTGAACAGTAATCTTTTTCATCCCACTCAAGGCCTTCTGTAATCACTCCAGATTTTTTAAAATTCCAGTCCGTTTTTAGTTTCCCATTCCCTCTGCTCACTAGTGATAGGCTATAAACCCGCTCCAATTTCAAATCATGGTGTGAGAAAATGCTATCACCCTGAAAACACTCCTCTCTCTGGGCACAATCAAACTGAGCCGCGCCTATGACAGGTCAGCGCGGCGCGAACACTTGAATACCGCGCCGTTTCGTCCCACATTTGAGTTGTTTGGCTTACCATACTAACGGGAGCAGAAAGTGTCCGGCTTGACGGCTCCGTTTTCAACTCCGCCCCCGACTGCAAGCGGCTACTCTCGTTGACTGGCGTCTGTAGCGGTGCTTCAAGTCGAACGCACCTATTGATTTGTTCCCCAAACCAGTTAAGTGCAAACTTCGCCTCCCAGACGATTCTAAAGATTTCATTGGTCATCTCTGCTTGTTTAGCCAATCAGAAGGCTTTTTGATGAGCTTTCGGGGCCTTGTCTCTCAGTCATTTTTACACTTTCACAGCGGGAACACCATATATGGGAATCCGGAAGCTGAGAGCGTGGCACGTGAACATGGAGCGTATTTTTTTTGTAATTTGTATGCACAAAATATTCGCGATTTCTCAACTGTCAACAGCTTTCACAGTAAAACGTTCAAAATGGAATATACAGGAAGGCCAGAGTTAAAGCTTTACATCAAAAGAGAACCTATACCTAAACACCTGACAGGCGCATAGCTTGTTTTGTTTCTGATTGACAGGTTAATATAATTGCTGTATTAACAGAGGGCGTGTTTGGGTTTGTCTGAAGATCTAGAACCACCAACTTTGCTTTTACAGCACATTTAAGGATCGTATGCAGTTTATAAAGTCTTCGGTTCACGGTTCCGCATTTAGGTTTGACTGACTAACGAGAGTACACTCGAGTGGTCGGTTTTTGCAATTTAAGCGTTATTTTACCATCTCACTTGTGCCATTTGATTCAGGCTAATAATAATTAATTCATCTCATGGGCTTTTAACCACACTACATGTTGTACTCATTAATATGTACTCTGGTAAAGTTGGCTGTTATGTCTTCCTGAGTGTATTTTTCCATCTGACCCACCACTCACAGGCAGACAGTACTGTGCTTCCAGCTCTGCGAAAGGGTGAATCAATTTGAGAGAGAGAGAGAGAGAGGGTTGAACAGAGAGCGAGAGAGAGAGAGAGAGAGAGAGAGAGAGAGCGCCAGGGAGACGGAGAAAGACAGGCGAGAGGAGACTTCGACTCCGCACCAGCCCTTCTGAAGGATATATTTAGATTAAAAAAAACAAACAAAGGAAGAATAGACGAGGTAAGGCTGGATAAATATAGTATTACTAGCTACTTGTAAAACAAACATTTTTTACAGTATGTTCGGTAGTCTTGGAAATGTATGCATGGATAGCCTTCGTAAACAGCTACGTTTAATAAGGCTAATTTTGTATTTTCTGTTATTTGCCATTTGTGTTAACGAGTGTAATAACGCAACCCTTGTTTTATGATGTATATGAGTACAAGGGAATTAATGCGACAGTATGTGTCTCTGTGTATGTGTCCAGTTGAACGCGGGTGCGCGCTTGCGTGTGTGTCCGGGCGTGTAAACTAATGAATTTGTGCTGTCCTGTCGAGACACCTTTCGCCAATATGGAGTGACCTAGAGTCATAAATTATGGATGGATTACTTTAGGATATAGGACTGCTGATGACAAGACGCGGAATGAGGGGTTATTCGTTTTAAACACACTGGCGAATAGTCAGTGCAGTCACTGACTGTTTAAGTCAGTGCTGGTTATGTGTGCAATAATCTTAGACTTTTCTACGTAACACGTAAATATCGGCCTCTTAATGCGTATTTGTCAGAGTGTAGAACCGAGGATGCTCACCAATGCGCAATTTCTTTAGTTTACTTGTCACGCTGGATCTTGGTTTGCAGTAACCAGTGTGGCAACCACTAAATCTGTTGCCTTTAAACTTTGGATTATAGTTGTATTTTTGAAAATGATTGAGCAGTTTCACTTTGGAAGACGCTTTGTCCAAATGTATGGGTATAAATACCGAAGGCGCTGTGTGGCCTGGCTGTGATAAATCACTAAAGCTCCACCGCTCGCGAACAAGAAACAAACAGATTAAGCGCAGTGAATGAAGATCCACTGCTGTTATCTGTGACACATGAAACGAAGGGTTTAAATGCTGATGTGTTGTCCCGGTGGTTCAGCTGGGAGAAAATTAGCCCATAGGCATGTGCTATGCGTTCTGATAGTGTGTGTGACATGAGTGGTGATGACTTGGGCATCTGTTGCTGAAGGAACAGAGTGCGATTCTTCACACAGATTTCTCGTGCTGTATCTTATTTACAGAGGAATAAAGCTCTAACTTGAATCTATGTGTTTTGTTAGGTAGTAATAGTAAATGTTGCTGATGATATATTATTGCTATGTCATTTCAGAAGTAAAAGGATTGTAGGTTAAGTTGGAAGTTTATAGTGTAAAAAGTGGGTGATCAGATGATCCAGAGTTTGAGTCATGCTGTCATATTGGAAGAGAATGATTAGGGTTTTTACAGAGAGCTCAGGCTCCATCCAGTGTGTGTATATATAAGAGAGCAAAAAAATGCTTTCATTATCATATACGTTCCCTTGGCAACGTAAGCCATGACACATCACATAAATACATTTATTTGAACACAAGCTTTGAGGGAGACATTTCACATTGCAAGCCAGGTATCGCTGGGCCAATATGGCTGCATAACACAATCATGACATGTATGTTTGTAAACCAGTTTTCTTTCACCTTGTTGAGTACTAGAACATTTACATTTTTCAGTTTGTGGAGCTCCTCAGAGCTGAAACAGTTTGTGTTAGGCAGAAACGACAACTTCAGTCATTTACTTTCATTGCATGATGAAAAATATGCAGTGAAAGTGAACAGTGACTGAGGCTGTCATTCTGACTAACATCTCGTTTTGTGGTTCGTGGAAGAAAGGAAGTCCTACAGGTTAGAAGCAACATGAGGGTGAGTAATGATGACGGCGTTTTCATTTTTGCGTGAACTATCCCTTTAAACTCATAAGTCACCCAGGGCCGTATTCATAAAAACCATCCACCATGTTGGAATTAACGCACGTTAATAACTTTCTAATGCCTCTTGAATGGTTTGAAGTGAGCCATTTACCTGCTGTGGATTTTCCAATGGGTTCTCTTAACATGCAGGTGTTAAATTTAAAGGTGAGATGAAGTTTTATGAATAATTATTTAAAGGCCTTTGTTCACGCTCCATTCCTCTCTGTGACTGTGCAATATATTGCATGTGAAGTTATAACTGATAAATGATAGCCTAATTGTAGGGAGGCCAACCAGTTGGAGTGGAAAAAGGAAATGACGTGCTGTACAAAAAGTTGATGCAGAATCCAAAAAATGGTGTTTTATTGGAAGGTGCTAAAATATTTACAGTGCAGGAGAAAACAAAAATAAACAAAAACTGTACAAAAGAAAAGAAAGCAGCAACAACGTGCTAATTTTGGCTAAACCAGATGGCCCAAGTTTGCAACCCTGCTCAGTATTAGAGTTCACAATCAGAACTGAAATCCTTTCAGCCATCACGCCTATTTATAGGCTGAAGCCCCACCTATAGAGCCTACCAACTATGTACAAACGTTTTAGGTTGTAATGATCAAATTAAAAAATATAAACACCCAACACAACACTAAAACCTTCCAAATAGGTAAAACAACAACCATTAACAGAGAAAGAGTTTAACAACTAATTAAATAGCAAAAACAAATTTTTCCAAATCCCCTCCCCCTCTGACATCACACCAAAATGGTATCTTCCACAGGAAGTGATGTGGCTGTCGCTTTAAAAAAAACAGATTAACCTGGATTATGGGTTTGGTTGAACAGAGTGTGAACCGGGAAGTTTAACTACAAAAAAGGTTTGTGGCAAGTATGTGGAAAAATAAAGGTAATTATCATATGAATTATTATGTGTTCTGGCATTCTGTTATTTTTAGAAAAATAATAGCAAACTTTAAGGAAAACTATCAAGAGTTGAAAACTATAACAAAACACAGCAGCAACAAACTTTAGACTAAACAAAACAAAAACTCCATAAAACTTTCCTGAGGTGTACACAGATGTTAATAATGCCGGCAATGCACAGTATCAGTGACATGGGTGTATGTTTGTAAGTCCAAGTTTATAGAGTCACCAGGTTAACCTGTGACACTAATGTTTTATTTTTTTGCATCAGCTTCAAGCTTCTCTTGCTAAAAGGCCCTTTAAAATCATACCTTTTATGTTTGCTGCGCTAGTCATCCTTTCATGCCTCCCCTTACTTTTGCGTTTCATGTGCCTTTTTTAAATGTATGAAGGGGCTTCAGTGTGTCAAAAGGTGACAGACATCAGCCGTCAGAGAGGAAGGCTTTACACAGACATGCTTTAAGGGAGCAGTTTACAGAGAGCATTGCACCCTCAACCCTTCTGCTCCAATCAGACCCTTCAGGGCTGCAACTCAGCAAGTTGCTTCTCAGCACCTGCAGCAAATCTAGATCTAAATAATTAGGTAATGATTAAAAGGTGGTTTACAGGCACACAGAAAACGAAGGCAATGAAAGGCCGTTGACATCAATGAAAAACAAGACGCAGCTGCAGAACAGAACCAGCCGCCTTAGTGGGATTAGATTATGTGCATGTGGAGAGCAAGGTGCTGTTGCATAGTGTTGCATGATAACTTTGCATAGTGTTGCATGATAACTTTGCACATGTTATGGCCTTGATCATCTAGACTCTAGAGGGATAAACTGCCAGCTTTTTTTGTGTGTGTATTTTTGAATATTAAAACGTTTTGTTGTTGTTAAACATCATAAACATGTGTTTTAGACATTTAAAGGGGAGGTCTTAATGCTATTTCATGCATACTGACTTATTTACACTGTTAAAGAGTTGGATTCTCATGGTAAACATGGCCAAAATGTAAAAAAAATAATAATAATTTGGATGTATGGAGTATTTCTGTGCCAATATACATTTCGGAAAGTTTTTTTTTCGAGTATGGCCCTGTTTTTGGTTGTGAGGGAAAGATAAGCTTGTTCAGCTTCCCAAAGAACACAGCGTTAAGGGAACAGTGGATGCAGATTGTTTCTCCAGGGCAGCAACAGAGTTGTTCAAATGTGTTTGTTTGTTCCCGGCATTTTGGTGACGAATGTTTTATAAACAAATTGAATAAAATTTAAGTCGGTAAAGTTTTTGTTCTTGTTTTATTTATGTCGATGTCACAGCTTGCAGACGATCGCTATAAGCTTTGCATGCTCGTTGATCTTTAGCTCCGCCCACGACACGCCTCCAGGAGCTTGACTGTTTTCAGACAGAAGCGTAAAGCTGTATCTGTCTTTTATAAATCTCATAAAACAATGACTCTTCGGAGATATGAAGGATGCAATACAACTCTATAGGTACTCAAGATTGACATGATTGGCAGAAACTGTGTGTGTTATGTACCCTTTAAAGGAATATTCCAGGTGCTTAAGGTTAAACCTCAATTAACAGCATTTGACTTAAAGGGGTCATATGATGCGATTTCAATTTTTCCTTTCTCTTTGGAGTGTTACAAGCTCTTGGTGCATAAAGAAGATCTGTAAAGTTGCAAAGACTAAAGTCTCAAATCCAAAGAGATATTCTTTATAAAAGTTGAGTCAGCCACGCCTACCTAAAACGGCTCGTTCTAACACACCCCCACATACCTACGTCACGATCTCATTCGGCCAATCACAGCGCACTGGATAGCTGGCCAATCACAACACACCTCGCTTTTTTTGAATGATGAGCTTTGTAAAAATCGACGCGTTTCAGAAAGGCGGGGCATAGAGGAGAAACAATAATGTACAGTATGTGGAAAATAATGTGTTTTTTGAACCTTAAACCGCATAAACACATTTCATTACACCAAATACACAAAATAATGTTATTTTTAGCAGCATCATATGACCCCTTTAATGTTGATTAACAATTAATTTCCACTTTGCTTTTTTCTTTACAAAAAATGAAAACCTGTGTTACAGTGAGACATTCACAATGGAAGTGAATTGGTTTCATCTGTAAAAAATAATTCAATAGTAGGCCTAAAGCCATGAGTTGTCAACAAGATCTGTTAACTGTTTTAATGTGGGAGGGGTGGGGAGCACATTTTTTACTTATGCAATTTTACAAATCTGTCACCATGACAATGGAATGCAATAGAGTCAAAAATTGACTGTAAATATGAATTAAACCGTTTATAGCTCAAATAATACACAAGTTTTGTTAGAGGAATTAATTAAT